CTATGAATGACTGGGCAGGGAAAATTATAGTCTCCTAGGATAATTACAGTTCACAGTTGTGTCTAATGGGATCTGCATAAATCAGGGTATTGTTTGTCTCAAAAGTGTATTTATACTTGTCAAATGATTGTAATTGGACATTTACAAAAGACCATTTCAATTTATAAACATGACTTTCTAAATGAATATTTATAAAGCACTTGTTAAAGAAAATAAATTTACTCAGGTAATTTTGAACTGTGTTTTACAACATGTAATATAAAACCATCTCTTACTAAGAAAACCTCTCCGAAATGTCTGTTGATGATAAACTTAAAATTAAATAGAGATAGATAGGATGCTCTCAGCTCTTCCAGGCAAAAGAGTTTCACAGAATGTAACTGTGATAACGAAGGAAACAATAGCTTGAGTTCTTAGCTATGCCTCTCAGTTTGGTGAAGTGAATGGACCTCAGGCCACATGGATTTGCATGCAGATATTTAGCTGATACCTGGACAACATACATAAAACTTCCCACACTATTCTATCTATACTGTAGATATTTCAAAAAAAATAAAAAATGATAACTTATTATAGAGTCAGGAATTTTAAACTGAAACAAAGCTTGCAGATTTTACCTTCCTCACCTGAAAAACATCATATTGTTTATTTTAACACTCCCATAACTCAATCAGTAGCATATTTTCATTAATAAATTAGTATTAGACATTTGACTTCAACAAACAATAACAATTAGAGGGCATAAATAATCTCTATAAAGTTGCAGTCCTTTTCCATTGGACAAGGTACCTAGTCCATGGCAACAATCTTTGGTGATGTTTGTACACCTTAAAGACATTTCTGAAAACTACAAATTGTCTTTTATTGCTAGGACATGATACATTAACAATATTGTAAGTTTTTCTCTTCCGTTAAGTTGGAGTAGACCATCTCAAGTAAAGTAACTCCTACGAAAAATTTGTAACAATCTTTTGTGGCATGTCCTTGCCTCATGTGATCTATTACAATTATCCAAGTCACTTCTTTTAAATACTTAGGACACTGCAAATCCTTTCAATTGCTTGAGACGATATAACATCCTGACAAGTGATAATACATAATTTTTATTTCTGTGTGCAATACTTTAGTTGCAAAATTCTGTCTTCCAACCAACACTACACTTGGAGAAATATGTAACTATGTTTTTTAAAATTAACATTTTTTTCCAAGTGCAAACTTCTGCTTAACTTCTTTAGCAGGAGCAGTTTTGAGGATTTTTTGGAGAGTGGGATTTCACCACACGTCATCTTCATATCTGGATTTTATTATCAGTTACTGGCTGCTCACTGATGGGAGCAGGTGTTCTCCCAGATGTAATTAACAACTACTTTCTCCTTAGTCTATCTGCTCCATTGTTTTTGATTGCCTAAATTATTCTAATCAAGATTCATGCAAACCTTTTTGTACATGGTGATAGATATGGATCTATCTGCAGTATTCTACATGCCAGCATCTAGTTATGCCAGCACCATTTGTCGAGGACACTTTCTTTTTTCCAGTGTATAATTTTTGCTTCTTTGTCGAAAATCAGGTGTTCATAGGTGTATGGGTCCATGTCTGGGTTTTCAATTAGATTTCATTGGTCTACCTCCCTATTTCTGTGACAACCCCAAGCTGTTTTCAAGACTATAGTCCTATAATACAGCCTGAAGTCAGGGATGGTGATGCTTCCAGAAGTTCCTTTATTGTATGGGGTTGTTTTGGCTATCCTGGTTCTTTTGTTTTTCCATAAGAAGCTAAGTATTGTTCTTTCAAGTTCTGTGAAGAATTGTGCTGGGATTTTGATGGTGACTGCATTGAATGTGTAGATTGCTTTTGGCAAGATTGCCATTTTTACTATGTTGATTCTACTTATCCAAGGGCATGGGAATCTTTCCATTTTCTGGTATCTTCATTAATTTCTTTCCTTAAAGACTCAAAGTTCGTGTTATACAGGTCTTTTACTTCTTTGGTTAGCATTACCAACAGGCATTTTATGTTGTTTGTGGCAATTGTAAAGTGTGGTGTTTCTCTGATTTCTTTTTAAACACTTTTATCATCTGTATATAGTAGGGCTAACTAACAATCTAAGCAGTAGTGGAGAGGCTACCTTAAATGCCCTTCCCCGATAATGAGATTGATGACTACCTAATATGCCATCCTAGAGCCTTCATCCAGTAACTGACAGAAACAGAAGCAGACACCCACAGCTAAACACTAAGCTGAACTCCTGGAATCCAAATTCAAAGATGTAGGTATGATGAGCAAAGGGTTCAACCTACAGAAACAACTTGACAAGAACAAGGGGGAGCTCATGGACTCAAGATTGATAGCTGGGAAACCAGCATAGGTCTGATCCAGAACCCCTGAATGTGGATGTCAGTTTGGAGGTCTGGACAATCTATGGGGCCTCTAGTAGTAGATCAATATTTATCTCTATTACATGAATGGACTTTGGGAGCCCACTCCACATAGAGGGATACTATCTCATCCTAGACACACAGGGAAGGCCTGGGCCTTGCTCCAAATGATATGAAAAGTTTCGAAGATCCCCATGGAAGGCTTCACTCTCCCTGGAGAGCAGAAAGGGAATGGAATAGGGAGTCATTGGGGGACAGAGGAGGAGGGATGGGAGAGGGAACTGGGATGGACATGCAAAACAAGCTTGTTTCCAAATTAAAATAAAAAAGAAAGTGGCTCAAATGAAATGTTTGTTGATATTCAAAATGTCAAAGATGAGTTATTGATGAATTTAATGAAGAATGATAATGATTCAGAATCAAGGCAGTGGCTCATACAACTTTGATTATGATATTTATGTTTGAAGGGGAGGAAGATCTTTGTGTGAAAAAATAGTTCCAGTAGAAAAATTTATTTTGTCTTTGGTTCAGTTGTTTGTAAATATTTGTATACTTGCATGCTCCATGCAGAGACTTAAAGTAATAGGAGTTCCTTTCTATGAATCTCTGTACGTTTATTCATCTGAGTCATGTTTTCTCACTGAACGTGAAGGTACTAGGTAATCAAGAGCCAGAATCCCTTCTGTTTTGATGCCCATACAACCATAGCTGACTTTTAACTTGGGTGCTGGGAACACAAACTCAGGTCTCAGATTACACAATCTCTCCCTAGTTCAGTTGAAATTTTACTACAGTGTAGGTTATTTACTCTTCAGCACCAGTGTTAGTTTTAAAATTCTCTGTGCTCCTTTTTATCTTGTGCGGTGGCAACCAGTTAACTAGATTTTCCAAGACTCTAAAATGTAGAATCAGCACAGGCGTCATCTATAAAGATGTCTTTCTTCAGTTTTTTTTTGTGTCTTTAAATCCCTATCATTATTTATCAAAAAAATGCATTTTCCTTGCTTATTTTCAGCCTTCAAACTAAAATAGCACCAGTAGGAACCCAGGCTTTTTGTTTATCTTGTTTAGAGTTAGTGTTTTGCTGTTTTTCAGAATCCTTCAAAATTCTACCTTACATGCCTGGAACACGTTCTGAAACAATAGTTTCCCAGTATTTTATGAATGAATGATTTATAAATGAAAGACCATCCAACATAAAGAAAATGTAAAAAAAAGTATCTGACTTTGCATGTGTTTTACAGAGGGATTTTAAAAAAGAGCAAATATCATTTCAATGCTTGAACTGGTAATATATTAAAAATTGGTGTGGCTAAATTTTCAGCTGTATTATTTGGTAAGATTTCAAATTATATCATAGAATACATTATAGAAATCCAAAAATGGGCAAAGCATAGTCCAAGTGGATTTTTCACAATAGCTGTTTCTAATATGAACAAAATTTTTAAGGAAATTATTCACACGAACAACATGTGTCTGTGATGAAAATGTTTACCACCTTTGTCAAAGTGACATGCTGGTTCTGTGTACTTTGCAAAAGAAATAATCAGCTCCTTGAGAGCAATATTCATAAATTAATTAACTTTGTACCTCTTAGGATAGAATGCAACTCTTCTACATAATTTAGGAATATTTTACTGAATTGATTTGAAGGATAATTATTGGTGTATCTCAGTAGCTAGCCAGAACCTTCTACACATATGAAATTTAATTTTATAGGTGCTAAAGCACTTCGACTAAAATCAGGTAAAAATAGAAAAAAATGAAGCTAAGCAAAAGTGTGTATTTTCTAAAAGGCGTCATGATTGGGGAGTGGCTGAGTGCTTCTCCCTGTGGAGACTTTTTAAACATTGCTTTCTGTATTCTACCTTGGCCAAGCACAGCTCTGCCCAAAGATTCATAATTTATTTCAAATGAGTTCAATGAGTCACATCACCCTCCAAAATGTTGTGTGCCATAATAGCAGTGTACAATACTTGAAAATTCTAATAGTTAAAATGAATATGTCCTATTTTAATGGAACTTAAACCTAATATTTCTTATCAAAATTTAATGTTCCCTGTTGGAGCTTTGAATAGCTAAAATTTGCGGGGAGGGGGGCGCGTTTGTGCGTGTGTGTGTGTGTTTGTCTGTGTGGGTGTGTATGTGTGTGTGAGATAGATGTCCTGTTTAAGATTGAGGATTTTCAGTCTCTAGTTCTCTGGACCTAGCTCAGTCTTTGTCAGGGTCCATAAAAATGCCTTCACTTCATTTTTGTTTAATGTCAGAGTTTGAAATTACCCTTTCTCTTAGGAGTTTAAAGACATAAGGCCTAAATGTCTGGGGTGTGGCTACCACATGTTGTTTGTTGTAAAGTATGGATATCTTATCTATATAACAAGAATTTTGGTCTAAGGTGTGGTTGCTCTTAACCCTCAAGGTCAGATAGCATGAGGTTTAATCTACTGAATGTTTGAAAAATTAAGGAAGTGTGATTGTTCCTTGTATCTTGATAAAGAAATCTCTTGCCTTTTCTCCCTTTTTGGTTTGAGTACATTACAATTTTGAAGAATAAACTTGGGGCATTCAGTATTCACTGAATTGTCCTCCTGACTTTATTCTATGTTTCTATCTTTTCCTTAGTGTCTTCACCTGTCATTTTCACAATCCATCCTCCCTCTCCCAAGTACAACCAAGGAAAATAATCTGGATCTGAATGAAGCACTCCAAATATGGGTCCGACAGATGATACCTCAACATGGGACACAAACAAACAGGGGCAACTACAGATTGGTGCTGTAATGTGGGGACACAACAGATGGCAACTAGATTGGTGCCCAACATAGGGCTATTACAGATGGCAACTACAGAACTTGGACATGAGTACACCAGGACAATAATGATAGATGGCACAAATGGGCACCATAGGTGAAATGTGAAGTGAGAAGTGAGTGCTCAGAAAAAAAGTGAAGTGAAATATGGTGAGTCAATCTCAGGATTAAATTGCATATAATTGTAGATATGAAGCAGAAACATATTGGTTAGCTGATTATAAATTTGTTTATGTATATTTTAATAGCCATGAGAACTAGAATAAAGCACAATCTAGGACAGTAATTTTAGAATTTGTAAATTTCCCTTCCCCATGCTAAAGCCACCACTGTAGCTGTCTCAGAGTGTCACTGGGGCTCAGGGAAGTGAAGGTATGGCCCTACACAAGCTCTAGGTCAGCAGGACATGCAGGTTCTGTGGTCTCTGAGATGCTACAATGGCAGCCTTTGACTTTGCAAGGAACCACAGCAACCCATGACCTGTCATGGGGTCAGCCCAGGCCCAGAGGACAAAAGCGAGCTGAGGCCTCCAGGTCACCCAGTCCCTAGTGGGAGGCCTGAGCCATGAAGTCTGCATGCAGCTTTGGGAGCTGCTGTGGCAGTCACCCCCACCCCCAGCAAAGTGTATGTGAAAATGCTAATTAATGTAGCCTGTCAGAAACTGCCTTAAAACCTTTTAGAAAGGAAGCATATATAACTGATTTATTCAAATTTGTTCATATATTGGATACTTATACATTCAGTGGGTAACTATGACTGCTTTATTACAAAGGATTTCAGTTGAAGATGTTTAATTCCAACAAGCTAATCATGCCCTAGTGAAAAGGAGGGCTGAAGGGAACTCGTTGGAATTGCTCAAGTCAAGTGGAAAGATCCTTGCACTGGATTATGGAAAGGACCTGATCCTATTTTAACATGGGTTCAAGGCCATATTATTGTTTTCTGGAAAAAAGGAAATGAGGCCCAATATCCATCAGAAAGTCTGATGAGGTGTGTGGAGCAGAGGAATGCCAGACCTGATGACACTGTGACTGTTGGAGCCCCGCTCCCCCAGCAAAGGAATTTGAATGAGATCTGCTGAATCTGTGTTCCTAACCCTCGGATGTAATCATTATTCAGTCTGAGAAAGGAAGGAGATTATAATGATGGCTAGTGATTTCCAGTTTCTCTACAAACCTGCTGCATCAACTTCCCAGACCTCTGTGAGTTTTAATTATCCTGGATCTGGTTGAGGACTGAGTGTCTATCAGTTTATTCACACTATATCTTGAGATATAGAGCTCATTTTTGCCCATCAAAAATTATTTCTTCTGTTGCCTATGAGACTTCCTGTTGTAATTTAAGTAAAGCAGCTTGTGAGAGAAAGAGGTCATGAGACAGGGTTAAAGCAAACAAGTATTTTATTAGGGAAAGGGATCACAAAACGGCAAAGGGACAGGAGAGGCCAACCTCTGGAGAGGAGTAGCACACCAGAGAACAGAGGATAGAGGAAAGAGGCAGAGGGAGAGAGAGAGGGAGAGAAGAGAGTAAGGGAAAGGGAGAGGGTGATGGAGAGGAAGAGGGAGAGGCAGAGGCAGAGGGAAAGGGAAAGGGAGAGGGAGAAGGAAAGGGAGAGGAAGATCAGAATAGAGAGGGAGAGAATGAGAGAGGGGAGGATGGGAGGTGGGCAGGTCCCTTTTAAAAGAGAACATAGTGAATATGTACAAGTGATGCTCTCAGTGGCTGCAGTTGAGGACCTATCTTGTCAGAACCCCAAAGACAGGCCAGTACAGATGCTTGAATACTAACACTACCCTTTTGCAGGGAAAGGACTCATTTAAACAACTCAACACTATTACAGAGGTGATGTGTGGCTAAAGCCCCTCTTTCATATATGACAAAAATTTGAACAATAGCTTTAGTGCTGGTATTCAGTATTCAAGGACTGTAGTATCTCAAACATATCTTTGGAAATTAGAAGCAGCAAAGCACTGGACTTTAGGAACGGGAAAAAGAAAAGGTTCATAGTTGTAGAGTTACTCGTACTTCACCCACCATGAGAACATTTTATTGTACTTTGATTCAATTGAAGTTAAGAGAATTGTAATCTAGTCAATGATATGTCTATTGTTCATAATAATATTTGCAACCTTTGTTATGCTATGTAATAAGTGTTAATGGATGAAGAATTCTGATAAGAATTTGACATGAAAGCAAAAACAAAAAACAAGACAAGAAAAAAGAATAAAAAGCCTGGTATTGGTGGCATACGCCTTTAATCCCAGCACTCGAAAAACAGAGGCAGGTGGATATCTGTGATTTTGAAGCTAGCCTAGTCTATTGACCGAGGACCAGGACAGCCTCCAAAACAATACAGAGAAACCCTGTCTCAAATAACAAACAAAACAAAACAAAACAAAACCAAAACAAGAATTTGGCATGATGCTAAAAAGTTTAGATACAGTGTAATTAAAAACGGCAGATTTTGATTTTGATACAGGTAAAACTACTGGAGACATCCTAGACCATTTCATCTTGATCATTTTTATTCCTTTAATAGGAGATATTATAACAATAAAAGCATATGACTTAGCATTGTGAAACTTGCATATGAACTCTGAATGAAATGTTGGATAAGCGGTACTAAGTTGGCTATGCTACACACTCCCAGCTAACCTTTATTGCAGAGGCTGGTACTCAAAGATGGGTAACATCTTTTTGCCTCCAGGTGACTTCAGACAAATCACATATGACAGAATGTTTGTTCCAAAGACAACTAAGGCTGGAAGGCTAAAGAAGACAACCTAAGACAGATACAGTCATCTATCCTGTGTCAGAAGCACAGCATTAATTAATTAAATTTAGAAGGGGCAATTCTTGGGGGTCTATAAAAATGGCTTTGCTTCATCTTGGCTTGAGTTCAAAAACGCCAAAACTATTCTTACTCTTCCAAGGTTAAAGTCATAAGACCTAAAGATCTAAGTTGTAGCTACCATAGAATGTTTGATCTAAAATATGGATGCCTTTTCTAAATAACAAGAGACTTGTTTTAAAGTGTGGTTACACTCAATTCTCAAGGTCAGATGGCCAGAGATTTAGTCTACTGAATGTTTGGAAAATTAAGAAAAGTAAGTAAATGTATTTGTTCCTTGTATCTTAACAAAGTCTCTTGCCTTTTCCCCCCTTTTGGGCTTGGGTATATTAGAATGTTGAAGACTAAACCTGGGGCATTCAGTATTCACTGGATTGTCCTTCTGACTCTATTTTGTGTCATTATCTTTCCCTTACTATCTTTACCTGCCATTTTCTCAATCTGCACTGCTCCTCTCAGGTGGGAAGTAGGTAAATCTATTGGATCTGACTGAAGCCCCCCCAAAGACTGGGCTCCTAAAAGTCTTTCTCCATGTTACTTATTGTTGAATGAAAAAGAAGCTCTTCATATAAGAGTTGTGGGATGATCTAATCTGTGAGTGTAACTATAAATCATGAGGAGTCAGTTTAATACAATGTTCATTTAGTAGAATAATTATTAGTAAGTTCTTACCTTGGTGTAACGAGATTTCTGCCTGGGTCCTGTTGCCGCTTTAGCCCCCAAAATAACACATGAAGAATCTATTTGTTACAATACTGTTGGCCAGTGTCCAGGCCTTATCTTTGACTACTTCTGTCTTAAGTATTAACCCATGACTACTAATATGCATTGCTATAAAGCCTTGTTTTACCAAGAACTCAAGACTCATGAGTCCTCTCCTCCTGGGATCACATGGTGACTCTCCACCCTTGACTACATTTCTCAAAATACTCCTTGACTCCTATTCTCATCTATCTTGCTTCCCTATTGGCTATAAGTGCTTTATTTATCTATCAATAACACAAACATATACACAGAAGGACTTTTCCCATCACCTAGGGCTTAATTTTTAAAAATTATTCAATAATGCATTACTCTGTATCTTTGGAGTATACAAATTAATTTGGAGTATCTGTTGACTTATTTATAAATTATGTATAATTCTCTCAACTTTATTAAAATATCTTGTCAAACTAGAGGAATTTTTCAAAAATGATATTCATCTAAGAGAAAAAGCTTAGCTGTTAATAATTTATTGAGTATTAAAGAAATTATGTTATAAATCTCCATCTATTTTTATCTATAAAATATACTTATCTACCTGATTGAGTCATGCTACACACATAGTAATTCTTATTTATCATTGAATCTATCTATCTATCATCTATGTACCTATCTACCTATCATCTATCAGTCTATTGTATGTGGGTGGTATATGCACAGATTAACAATGTATATGCAGTTGTAAATTTCTACTTAAAAAAACAAAATATTTGTGTCGTTTCATGGAGAGGAATAGATGGGTAAGTATATTTGCTTGCATACTTAATTTCTGAAGTCTTCTGAAATTTGACTGTTGAACAAGAAACCAAGAATTTACACTTACCTTGATTTGGTACATGATGTTTAATTTAGAAGGTCACTATGTCATGAATATAGCAATAGACATTTACAGGCAAATTCCATCAGGCCATTGCATGAACTTAACAAGTGATAACTTTGGGACAGCTTCATTTTTATCTGATTAAATGCATTTCTAATTACTATTGTGATGAATTTCAATTAAAATTTTTCAAATTTAAATATATGAGCCTAATTTTGGAGGAAAATATATCCTCTAAATTTTAAGTGTTTAATTCTTCAGTACTATTACATTAAAATGTTGAAAATTCCTTTGGATGCACCTTGCAGCTGACTGATTAATGTGCAGATTTAATCATAAAAGCATTCAAGTGTGTTGTAAGCTATGATGAGTAAGATAATTCAGATGACTATAAAAATAATTGCATTGTGGTAATCTGGATTAATAATCATAAACCACTTGAATTTGGATTGTTCTCTTACAATTTAAAAATATTATGATTCATTTAATACCTATTTTAATTGCAGATTTTAATAATTTGTTCTCTGTGATTGAAGAGCAGCAATAGTATCCTTATGCTCTTTCTAAATCCCCTCTTCAGGACTGACCAAACCAATCACTCTAATTAGAGGAAATTATTTTGTGTCCTACTTGATTTTTTACATCTGGAGAGTCTCTTTCTGCTTTGTACTCTTCCATCCCCTTTAATTTGTATCTACTTGCTTCACAAGTTTGCTGTAGATGTACTTCAAAATCATTCATTCGCAAGGCACTTCTGTTTCTCTGCCACTCTCTTAGAACCTTGTTTTTATTCACTCTTGCTGAAAATCTCTTTTAAGTTTTTCTTGACATCTTAACTTAAAAACATACATACACTTTCTCACATGTGCATTTGCATGTTTGTGGGAACAAGAGACCTTGGCCAGAGGCCCACTTCCCCATCAGCCTGGGAGCAGGCAGCTGTTATCGGTAGAAAACATGTTTACCAAAAACAATATGGTGTCCATAATCACAAAGAAAAATATGTTTACCTGAGCAATAAGTTCCTGATGTTTTTGGAAGGGCTCACCCACAAGAACACCCTGACCCTGACCTTTCCGATGACTAGACTAACCATCTTTTCCTGATCCCCCCACCCCTCCTCTGGTGTCAGGATATATAACCAGCCTGGGTAAGAATAAAGCAAGCCTTCTTTCACCACCGACTTGTCTCTGTGTCATCAATCCTGACACCCTTTGCAGTCTGTGTGGGCACGATATTTGGAGGTCCCACCGAGATCTGAAAGCGAGTTAAGTAAGGCCAGGGACAGATTGGGGAAAATAAGAAGAGAAACAATGTGGAATAGTTCAGCAAAACTTGAATTACAAGTAAAGTATCAAGCAAAAAATTTACTTGAAGGACAGGGGACTACAGTCAAGGCTAAAACCCTAGAAGGCTTTCTAAAAATCTATCGAATGAGTGAGTCCATGATTTATTACTGGGGAAGGCTTAAATGTCCCAGATTGGAAGGAGGTTAGCTGTGATTTTCAGAGGCTGGGTGTTGGTGGCACACACCTTTAATCCCAGCATTCAGGAGTCGGAGGTAGGTGGATCTCTGGGAGTTCCAGGCCATCCTGGTCTACAGAGCAAGTTCCATGACACCCTCCAAAACAATACAGAGAAACCTGTCTTGAAAACAAAATAAAATAAGATAAAAATGTCGCACCGGGCTGTACCCATATCTGCAGCAGGTCTCCAATGTGAATAGCCTCTGGCATGTTGGAACAATGTAGGTAAAGAAAGTCAGCAAGCTGGATCTGTAACTTCTGGCTGAAAATCTGGGGGAGAAGATGTATTGAATTAATCTCCAGCCTTTTGCCTGATCCGCTGAGGTCAGGAAAGTAAAGGGGAACTGAGAGATCGCCCTCAAAGGCTGGCCAACAAGTAAGTCTGTGAGGGTGTATTGGAAAGGGGTACCAAGTTAGGGGTACCAGGTTAAATCTCCAGGCCTTTGCCTGTAACCAAGGTCAGGAAAGAAAGGGGAACATGAGAGATCACACTCTGGTTAAGAGGGTGGATTGGATTAAATCTCCAGGCCTT